ATATACATGTATATGCAATGTAAATATGTGTGAGGCAGCGTGGTAAAATCAGGCTCTCGTCAAAATAATCAAAGTGAAGAAACTTGCATTTTTCCACAGGTTTGTGAATTTTTATAAAATATTTGTTTTTTGGCTCAACACCTTTCATGCCCATTAAAGAACTATTTCTGCGTGGATTTTTCTGAAAAACGTTGATTAAAAGTACAAAAAATGTACATTTTCTGTTACCATCAACTCTTAAGCTAAAGAAAGAAATAATCTTTGGCGGCAATTTTCTCATTAATTTTACATCCGAAAACAGGTGACCCCCACCTCCTCCCATTCGCAAATGTCTCGACTTGTGTTCAAGATTAAAGGATATTTTTTTCATCCAAATAAAGACTAGTGAACAAACTTTAAAATGATACCAATAGCTCTACATGCCAAAAAATTGACGAGAGCCTGATTCCACAACGCTGCCTCACATATACATTTTACTCCCCCAAATCATCTTTACTTTCATCCCACTGCAATATCACATTTTTCTATTTCTAAAATAACGCTATCTACAAATGAGATTCTACCACAAATTTCTAACGTTAAAAATCGAAATAATGACCTGCACCAAGCTGTGCTGTGAATTGTTGTGAATACAACCAACTTGTGTTTCGCTCGCTCGTAATTATAACCTTATACCGTTGCGAGGGCCGTAAAACTCCTACTAAAACATAGCATATTTTGCACAACAAGTCACCTCCAGAAAGGACCGCCCTGTCCACGGGTTTCTGGCACAGAGATGACTTCTCCTCTCTCTGTACCTCTCCCCTGTCCCCACCACAGTGTCCCCTGCTCCCATCTCCTCCAGGAGGGCATCGTAGAGAAACACGTACTGGTCTACGCCTCGAATCTGGAAACAGAAGTTACATGAAACATCTCTAGAGTTGTTAACTCGATTTGTCGAGAGTTCAATGAAATTTTGGCTTCCAAAATGTATGATATACTCATGAGAGGGAGCAGTGCCCCCCCCCCAAACCACTTTCACTACAACACAATACAATGAAGCTTCTAGCTTCACCAGGAGGGCAGCGTTCATAAATATGTACTGATCCAAGCCGTGAATCTGAAAACAGAAGTTTGATATAATATATCTGGATTTGTTCTGTCGGTGTTCATGGGAAGCGAGGAAGTTCATTCAGTGTTTATGGCCATTTTGTCTACATCACATCCTGAGATCAGATCAAACAAAATAATAAACACAATCATAACCATAAACATAGATATAAACATGACATTTATATAGCGCTCAACCCCGAATAAAGTACACAGGCTCTGAGCGCTTTACAATACAGTACAATATACAACAGTAACATGAAACGTTGTGTTCTGACTAAAGAAAATTATTCCAAATATTCATCTTATTAACTTAAAAACAGAAACGACTTCAGCTGACATTTGAATGAATCAAAAGATTTGATTTCTTTCAAAGTACTTGGTAAAGCATTCCAGATCTTGGGGCCTTGGTATTCAAATGCCCTTTCACCCACTGTTTTAAGTTTCATAGATGGTAAAATAAATTTCTTTTTGTCAGCTGATAACCTTAAACTGCGAGTTGGAATGTACAGTATTAACAGATATGATAAATATGATTGTGCATTATCATTCAAACATTTGTGACATAGGGTGGCCAACACTAGGTACTAACAGATCTAGGCCTCTACTCCTTACAACCCCCCCACCCCCAACCACCTTCCCGAAAAGAAAATGCGCCAAAAAATAATAAAACGAGAGCTAAAATCAACAAGGACATCATTATCAACAACAACACCACGACAACAACAACAGCTCCAACAACAACAACAACAACAACAGCAACAATCACAAAAACGACAGCAAAACTTCACCATGCATGGGCGATTCCTCCTCATCTCTTTTACGCACTTGAAGACACTGACAGATCCGGATTTCCGGTACTGCCGGATTAAACGATCCAGACCGATATAGACAGCAGACCGGGACACACCAGTTCCACAGTGGACCAGAATAGGACTCGGTCCGTCTCGGTGATAGGTGGACACCTGTTTGTGTTATCAATTTCTTTTTACATTTAGATGTTTACGTACTTATTTGTCTTCTTGCTTTAGTATAATATGTTTATTTTATTTAATACGTTAAAAATGGGTTGGGGGGGGGACCTTTATTTCTTTTACTTTCGCTGGGGTGTTTTTCCTTCTGTGTTCCATTATTTGTGTGCAGTTGGTTTGAGAGGGAAGGGGGCGGGCAGGAAGCAGGTGTAGGTGAGGAGAGGATGGATATTGTGGTAGATCTACCTCAAATGGGATCTGCCAGTAATATGAAGCAGTCATTGCAGGTAGAGGTGTACGATGAGAACAGTTTTTCTTTCTTTTGTTTTATAGAACTTTGACTTCTTTCGTCCCCAAAATCGAAGGTAAACCCAAAAAATGTCAAATAGACACACATACAAAGGCAGATATACATATTATGTATACTTTGATAGAAAAACACATTCCGAACAACCTTCACACCCACACCTACACATATGTGAGGCCGGCAGCGTGCTGGAATCAGGCTCTCGTGAAAATAATCAAAGTGAAGAGAATTGCATTTTTTTCGCAGTTTTGTGAATTTTTACCAGATATTTGTTTTTTGGCTCTACACCTTTCATGCTCATTAAAGAAATCATTTCTGTGTGGATTTTTCTGAAAAACGTTGATTAAACGCACAAAAATTGTAAATTTTCAGTTACCACGTACCCTTAATTTTAGGAAATAACTAATCTTTGGCGGCCATTTTCTCACTAATTTTACCTCTGAAAAGAGGTGAACCCCACATTCTTCATTTACAAATATTTCGACGTGTATTCAAGATAAATGGATTTTTTTCCCAACCAAATAAAGACAAGTGAACAAGCTTTAAGATGAAACCAATAACTGAACATACCCAAAAATTGACGAGAGCCTGATTCCGCCACGTTGCCTCACATATCTATCCCCAAACGTACAAACACACAAAAATATGGAAACCTTCAAACACGTACACACACAAACGCACACAAACACACACACACGCACACACACACACACACACACACACACACACACACACACACATACACACTAAACAAACACAAACACACAATGTAAGCGTTGTTTTTCTGACGCATTACCTTCCTCCTCATTTCCAGCCAGGGAACCGGATATTCGGGTACACCGTGGTGCGGCCATCCGGTAAAGTGAAACTGAGTCACCTCACGACACGCACTTAGGGAACCTTTAGTTCCCAGCATGATCTTTCTACCCAGGGAGCACAATGCATGAATTAAATTTATGAGGAAGGAATGGATGAAGAACATAAAATGAGAAATAAAAAAAAAAAAAAGCTACTTGACTGATTAATCAAAGAAGAAAGAAAAGGGTTAAATAGAGTAAGGAAATGCATGACAAATAAATGCATAAAGGAAAAACAGAAGGGATGAATGTGTGAATTTTAGAGTGGAAAAATCTGATGATATAGCTAACGTTAAATTGGTTTAACGTCAGACGCACACTAGGGTGCCTTCGCCCTTGGTTTGATCTTTATACAGGAAAATGAATAAATGCATAATTTTGTTGTTCATTATGAAAGAAATGAAAAAGGAAAAAAAGAAAGGGACTGAAGATTTATATTGGCAAAAAATATTCGCACTTTCTTATTTGCTTGCTCGTGCATCTGGTTAAATTCTAACTATTTTATATAAAAAATATCTGTGGTTTGAGGTAGTTATAACCGAGTGAGTGATGAAGACGGATAAAAGATATATTATTATACTCTTACCGAATAACTCAAGTGTTCGTTTTCATTCCACTTTTCAGCTCACCTCTGTGTTTTAGTAAACGTTATAAATATGACATTTACAACACCATTTGGTCACTTAAGTGTCGAAAATTAGAGGCGTTACATGAACGTAACAAGCACAAAAAAGGATGAGAGATAAGGACAACAGTTGTGTGGTAGGAAAGAAGTAGCAAACCACACCAGAGCACCCGTTTACCGCCCACTTCTCACCTCTCACTTCTTTACAAATAACTAGCAGTATTAATGGCGCTCATATGACCTTATGCAGTCGCGAGCGCCGTAAAACCTCTACTAAAAAAAAAAGAAGAGCAATATCAACCTAACAGTGTAGTTAGAATACTCATGCTCCTCCACCGTCTGCAGCAGGAAATGTCCGAACGATTTGACCGAAGGCCCACATCTCGGCCAGTACTGGGCGCATTTTACCACTCCTTCTTCGAGAACATTCGTCGTCATCACCACTACCTCGATACGCAACTGGTGAATCATTCTAAAGAAATAAAGGCAGTGGGAGATAATTTAAATAATTTAGGGAAAGAAGTAATATTAGTGCTTTGTCTCACATTCTGGCTACAATGTTGACAAATGTTGTATAAGAACATAAGCAGACCTAGCTACAGGAGTATTGACACGCTGATCTCAGCAACACAACAACTGTGCCATTATAGATAAAAGCAGCGTCGCCAAAAGTTACAAAAGTAAGTCAAAGACGGAGAAAAAAAATAACACGAAAAAGAAGAAAATAGTATCCGAGAAACAACAGCAACAACATTTACATTATCGATATACAAGTACAGCTGGTGCTAATTGCATCAACGGCAGCAAATTTTAATGCAGATCAGCATCAGCAGAAATACCATCATCACCATCAACATCGACACGAGGAACAAGAATATCAGCAATAAAAGCAGCAACAACAAAAACAGCAACACCATCATCAACAACACCAAAAACAGCAAAATCAACAATGACAACAACATCAACAAGACTAAAAACAACACAACAACAATAACAACAGCAAAAACAACTGCAAACACAAATACAAGAAAAAAAATCAGCGATAACAGTAAGACACAAAAACAAAAATAACAACAACAACAACAACAATAACAACAACAACAATTACAAAAACAATAATAATAATTAGCAGTTGTGAGGCAGCCTAGTAGAATCAGGCCCTCGTCAATTTTTGGGCATGTAGAGTTATTGGTATCATCTTAAAGCTTATTCACTTGTCTTTATTTGGATGGAAAAAATATAATTATCTTTATCTTGAATACAAGTCGAGATATTTGCGAAAGAAGGATGTGGGGGTCACCTATTTTCAGAGGTAAAATTAGTGAGAAAATGGCTGTCAAAAATGTTCTTAGCTTAAGAGTCGGTGGTAACAGAAAATTTACATTTTGTGTACTTTCAATCAACATTCTTCAGAAAAATCCTCACAGAAATTAGTTCTTTAATGGGCATTAAAGGTGTTGAGCCAAAAAAGAAAAAAATTGATAAAAATTCACAAACCTGCGGAAAATGCAAGATTCTTCACTTTGATAATTTTTACGAGAGCCTGATTCCACCACGCTGCGTCACATTTGTATAGCACATATCCCCGCTCAACAGCAGGCTCAATGCGCTTTACACTATATTAACAGCACTCAAAAACAACAGTATAGCTTGGTAGGGCTGATACAGTACACAGTTGAAGTACAACAGACTGCCGTGGTTATTGGGTTATAGTAAATCCTTGTGGGAGTGGGAGTGTTTGAATGAGTGTATGTGTGTAAGAGAGGGAGAGAGAGAGAGAGAGAGAGAGAGAGGGGGATAGAGTGAGAGGGAGAAAAAGAGAGAGAAGAGAGAGGCAGAGTAGGAAAGAGAAACAGCGAGAGAAACAGGCAGACAGACACACATACACACACACACACACACGCACACACCCACACAGAGAGAGAGAGAGAGAGAGAGGGAGAGAGAGAGAGAGAGAGAGAGAGAGAGAGACATAGACAGAGACCGAAAGACAGAGAGTGAGACAATGAGACTGAGAGACAGAGAGATAGAGAGAGACAGAGAGACAGAGAGATAGAGAGAGACAGAGAAAGAAAGAAAATGAGAGAAAAACAGTCGTACACACGCACACACGCATACACACACACTCACATACACACACACACACAGAGACAGAGAGAGAGAGAGAGAGAGAGAGAGAGAGAGAGAGAGAGAGAGAGAGAGAGAGAGAGAGAGAGAGAGAGAGAGAGAGGGAGGGAGGGAGAGGGAGGGAGGGAGAGAGAGAGGCGGGGAGGAGAGAGAGATATATCTTGAAATTGAAACTCATGAGCAACTCCATGAAGGTGATAGCTACGCTAGGTCGAGAGTGTCGCGAGTGGCCAGCAAATGCAACTAATTCGGAAATTGTGGCCATCCTTGAGGAAATTTCAGTGATGGGTGATGTTGTCATCTTCACCGACGGATCAGTGAGGCGTGGCCAGAAATCTGGGTGGGCGTTCAGTGCTCGAGTTGACGGGAAGATAATTCAAGAACAGTCTGGAGCCTACGAGTGCACTACATAGAGCATGGCAAAGGAGGTCAAGGCAATAACAGAGGCGCTGGATTGGATCAGCATGGAAGCGTATAAACATGCCCTGTTTGTCACAGATTCGATGAACTTGCCGGCAAAGCAGAACCCAATGGCCAAATCATGCTCGACCCACCAACGGTGATCGCCAGATGCAAGGAGGGCCATCACGACCAAGAGGAGACAGACTCCTACACACTCAGCACAAAAAAAGAAAAGTGTGTGCAGGTACAGCGAAAAAAATTTTGCTCCGAGGAGTGGTCAGGCGTGTCTCAAACCAGCTCCTCACGGAGACAATTAGCAGGAAGACCCTGAGATGGATGTTGGAAAGGAGAGATGAGCAGCTATGGACATGTGCCGCCTGCTATGATTCTAGCTTTGGATCCAAGTAAATCCAAGTAAATCCAAGAAATTCCTTATACATGTATATGTGTAAAAAAAAAAAAAACGATCACTGAACAAGACAAAAATACAAATTAATGCACTCATACACTCAAACAGTATGGAAAACAAACACAACACCCCATCCAAAAGGTAAAAGCTTTCAAACAAAATGTTTGCGGAGAATTTTACTAATAAAAATGTATGAATTTATTATAAATTGTCCGATCAGCAGCAGACGGGTTCCCCCACCCACTGGGGCCCGGGCAGTGGCTGCAGTTTCTTCAGGCCGTTCCAAAAGGGGGATATGGACATGTTCTTATGCACAGTAGAATTGTAAATGGACTCATTTATCAATGTTATGCTCATACGGTGCGGGAACAACAAAGGGGAAACTGCTGCGTTTTCTCTCGTCATCCTTACTGTCGTCATTTTTTTTCTCTACTTCTTCTGCATGTTTGTCACTCTCTTGTGAACTGCTAATTCCGTGGAGCCCTGATAGTCGAAGCAGATTTTATGCTGTTGAGTAAGCAGAGTAAGCCTGATTCACCATTTATTAGACTTCTCTGTTGACATTCACCCTTTGGTAGTCATATGCATATGACCTTAATATGCAGCTGCGAGCGCCGTAAAACCTTACTAAAACAGAACAAAAAACACAAACGCACTAACCTCCAGAAATCTAAAACCGTCTCCGGGTCGTACGGACTCATTGCGGCAATGTATCTGGGACACTGGCAGATGCTGCTGCTGCTGTCGCTGCTGTTGTCGCTGTTGAAGGTGATAAAGTTGGCGTGGATCACCGAGCTGTTGCCGGCCTCGTCAGGTCCTAGTGTCACCCGGCTGTGCTCATACAATGGGATGTGAGGGAATCTGCCGAGACATGGTGAGTGGATGGGTCAAGAAAGAGGGGCGAGGCCGGCGGGGTTAGGAAAGGAATGGGTATGGATATTGGAGTGAGTGGTATAAAGCGTAATCTGATCCTTGTACAACAACAGCAAAAGCAACAACAACAACAACAACAACAACAACAACAACAACAACAACAGAGCAAAAGTAATGGTATATATTATAAAAATGATAATGATAATAATGAAACTACTACTACTACTACTACTACTACTACTACTACTACTACTACTACTACTACTTATAATAATAATACTGATGATAATAATGATAATGATAATAGCAATAACAATAATAACAATAATAATATTAGAATATTAGTCACAATAATAATAATGACACCAACAGCAATCATGACAACAATAATAATAAACTTATTGTTTTAATATAATAATACTATTTACGATAATAATAATCATCATAATCTTAATCAAAATCAAAGTCATGTTCATAAATGATACAAATGATAATAATAAATGTAATAATACTATCATTATTGCTATTGATCTTTTTCTTCTCTTATCGTTGTTGTTGTCCTTGTTATTAAGTTTATTGTTGGGATTTTTGTTGTTGTTGGGGGGTGGGGGGTGGGGGAGGTCCTGTTGTTGTTGTTGTTGTTGTTGCTGTTGCTGTTGCTGTTTTCACCAACGGCATTTCAATCCAGCAGGATATGCAAGCACCGAATAGCTACCCCTAGGTACATAACGTACACTATTAATAACGATCAGTTACTGACCTATTTTTGACAGGCAGTTCGCTGACCAAGGCGTTAGACGAGAAGTCCATGCGGCTATTTAACAGCCGAAACTCTTCCCTGAGACGCAGAAAAGAAAAACAAAATCAAAAACAAAATAACCCGAGTAAGTAATAATGGGTATTCTTTGGATAGTAAGACTAGAGGTTGCTTCAGATGAGACATAAATGCTATAAAAATGCACGTTTATCATAATAGTGTTACAATCAGACGACATTGTCTGTGACGGACAACTCCTTCTCGAGGGGAAACGTGGACGTCGTCTTGCTCCTAGACAGGTGGACTTAAAACTCTTGCACAGCGTCATTGAAGTTTGAAATTATTATCAATATTATCATTATTATCATCATTATTATCATTATTATTATTGTTATTATTATTATTATTATTATTATTATTATTATTATTGTTATTATTATTATTATTACTATTATTATCATTCTCTTCATCATCGTTATTATTATCATTATTTTATTTCTTCTTATTATTATTATTGTTTGTTGTTGTAGTAGTAGTAGTAGTAGTAGTAGTAGTAGTAGTAGTAGTAGTAGTAGTAGTAATAGTATTACTCAGGGTTCTGACATCTCCAACGATTACCAACACACCATCCAGCACAACGTGCCTACATAAAAAAATTCGATAGCAACAAGGTTAGAGGGCGACCGAGAAAGACCTGGATAGATGGAATCAGGGAAACATTAACCACCCACGGCATCCCCCTGACCCAAGCTTTCCGTCTGGCGACAAAGAGACGTCTCTTTCTTCCCGCGACACCCAAAAGGGTATAAGCGGGGGATAAAAATAAACGTAAAAGTAAGTATTATTATTATTATTATCTTCATTATTGATAGCATTATAATCATTTTTGTTGTTATTATTTTTATTTTTATTCTTATTCTTATATTCATTCTTTTTTTTTCTTCCTTTTCTTACTATTATTATCATTATCACTAACAAATAAAACGCAAAGCACAACAACTGCTGTTTACATACAAGTGCGCAATTTACATTCAAAGACTTTAGTGGACAGATCCCCCCGCCGCTGACCTGAATGTGACAGGCCGGCCGTTAGAGCCTGGAATATCTTGACTGTAGTACCGTCTGAGCACTGTACTGACCGTGACGTCACTGCCAAGGTTCTCCCGCTTGTCCACTATAAACCTGGGGACATTCAAGGCCAGTCTGGGGGAGTTATGTTAGTTTTTGACTTGTTTGTCTGATAATTTTTTGAAAATAAGCTGGATTATACCAGATGCTTTCACAGAGAAAGGTAAATTCTAATCGAAGACGACGCACCAGACCATCGGCGTCCTCCACTGAACTCAAATTAAAACTATAAATATTTCAAGGCTATCCAACAACAGCACAAAAAAAGACCGTACCTCCCAACAATTCAGTCCTGGGATCCCAGATCTTCATCATTTTAGTTAAGCTTGCAGTAGATGTGTCCTTTGCTGATGCGTACCAGACGAGTGAAACTGGTCTAAAATTCCAAAACGGTTGGTTTTATTTTTTTTATTTTTTAGGTGGGTACACAATTCTCTTGACACTTCCATTTAATAGGAGATGGTCGGTAAAAAAGAGGCATGTCTTTCTAAATACCATACCATTCATACCATACCATTTCATACCATGCCATACCGTAAACTGCCGTACTATACTGTACTACATCATATGATACATTAGTGCCCTCCAACCCCTTCAAGCCAGGTCGAAGCAAATAAAAACAAACGACAATAGCTTCAATATGTTTCTTATGTGATGATTTACGTGAGGGACGAAAGATTTCCTTGAGTCAATGAGGTATACAACAAACCTAAAAAACACCCTCCAAAAACATCAACCACAAAACGATGGTTTCCATTTGGGTTTTTCTAAGGAATGATAAATAATATGAATTATTTTACAAAACATAAGTCATTTGCGACTACGTGGTGTTATACTGGTTTGAAATCTCACCGCTGTATGTGGGTGGTTGGCGGGTGCTCTGGTGTGGTCTGCTCCTTCTTTCCTTATAAGCATCTATTGCTCCTATCTTTCCCCATTCCTTTAAGTGTGTGTTACTCTCTTGCAGGACCACTAGTCTTTGACAATTATATGACTTAATCACGTTGCAAGTGACGCAAAACTTTAGCTAGTCTTACTAATACTAAATAGAAACAAATAACCACTGTAACCAAATGGCATTGGTGTGAATTCCTCTAAGTGAAGTCAGTTTGATCTAATATTAATTTATTCGACTTTAGTTTTGACTGATAATCTCACTCAGAGTGGGATTTCCCTTACTTACAGGATCAAATATCCAGCTTACTTAATGATCTAAAGTGTCTCAATGGGAGAGTTATATTATGTCTCAAATTAAGACATTCACTTGTCACCCTCCCCTTTCCATCCTAACCAAACCACCTCAATATAAATGGACGAATAAAAATATCAACGCAAAAGGCTTTTTTTAAAAGGAAAAAACAATTTAAAACATCAAAGAACCGCACTCGAAATTGAGTACTAAAAATAATAAATAACGCAAACAATAAAAAAGGGATAATGTTTTTATTGTCGTCAACGTTCTCCGATCCAACTCAAAGTAGTGAAAAGTTTGCCAGTGCTCTAGTGTTGTTTGTTCCTTCTCTCCTGTCAAACATCTATCATAATATTTGTCAATATATATATATATATATTTTTTTTTTTTTTTTTTTGTAATGGACTTTCTAGATTTTGTAATGAATTTTCTAGAACACCTCTAATCTTCGGCATGCTGATATGACCTATTTGCAAGTGTTGTAACTCTCTTTCAATTAAAAAAAAAATAACACTAAGACAAAACAAGTTAAGATTTCGAGCTGGCAGTTTTCATCTAGGTTTCCAAAAGCAAAACAAAGACGGCTGCACACTTCAACATCTGAACATTCAGCACACGTTTAACGTTTGGATACTGTAGTCCCCCTCAACTCTTCTTTCCCGTGTTCGTCCTCCTGTCCCCTACTTTTCCCTCATTCATCTCTCTACCCACCCTCTCCCTCTTCCCCCTCCCTCTCTCTCGCCCCCTCTCTCTCTCTCTCTCTCTCTCTCTCTCTCTCTCTCTCTCTCTCTCTCTCTCTCTCTCTCTCTCTCTCTCTCTCTCTTTTGTTAACAATCTACTCTTTTCTGATATTTGTGAAACGTGCTGACAAAATGAGTTACTTCTTGGAATTGAGCCATATGGAAATAGATACATCACGCGTATAAGTTTTTAGAAGTATGAAATAATAACAGGCGTGTTACACTTACAGAATATGGCATCAATAGAAAATCTACAAATTTGGCCCTAGTGTTGATTTTTTGTTGTTCCCAATATCTCCATTTGTGGATTGCGAGAAGTAACTCATTTTGTCAGCTCACCTCACATTTGTATTTTTGCCGTTAGCTGAAAGGTTTCTCAAAAGTAAAGACACTTTGATAACTTGCTCATCCCTTGTCTCTTCCAAAGTAATTTTAACTTGTTATTTACTTGTCTCTTTTCTTTGGCCCTCCTCTTTTTTTCAATTTCTGTTCATGCTATTACATAATATATATGTGAGGCATCGTGGTGGAATCGGGCTCTCGTCAAAATAATGAAATCGAAGAAAACAGCAGTTTTCTCCCTGCTTAGCAATTGTTATCAAATTTTTGTTTTTTGGCTCAACACCCTTTATGTCCATTTACAAAACACATTCCATTGAGGATTTCACCGAAAACGTTGATTAATAAAGGCACACAAACATAAATTTACAGTTTCCATGGACTCTCCAGCTTTGGAATTTACCAAGCTTTGGCTGCCATTTTCTTGCTAATATTACCTCTTAAATCAGGTGACCCCGGCCTCCTGCAATCCAAAAAATCTCAACTTCTATTGAAGATGGATGGGTTATTTTTTCATTGAAAGCAATACAAGTGAACAAGTTTTAAGATGATACCAATAACTCAATAAACCCAAAAATTGACGAGAGCCTGATTCCACCACGCTGCCTCACATATGCACACGTATATGTATATTATTATGTTGTTCTTATTGATATGTGTGCTTCCGTTTATCAATATTCGCCG